CTACATGCGCAAACAAACGACATGCCAAGCAGAGTACAACTTCTCATGGAGTCATGCACCAGAAATCGCGCTGTGATTGATGTCAATGAAGTTGTGAAAAAGCATGCACAAGTTATCCCCAACCTCCTGAGGGCTCACGCACTAACTGGTTGCGATTCCGTATCCTCTTTTGCTGGAATTGGCAAAGCAACAGTCCTGAAGCAATTGAAAGCATTTGCTGACACTATAACGCTAGGAGATCCATCTACTTTACTGGATAAAATCGTTGACCTTTGTCTGGGATATGTAGGCATGTTGTACCGACAGAAGCATGACGAATCTCTGAACACCATACGAGCAGCTCTTTTCACACGAAAGCTAGCTGGCAAAAACATTTACCACAAAAACTGAGCAGCTTACCACCAACAATGGCAGCTTTCAGACCACACTGTGCCCGTGCCCACTATCAGAGAGTTCTCTGGAAGTCTGCTGGCATGCCGTCACCTCCAACCCCTAGATTCTCAAGAGTTTGGATGGGATAAGAAGTCGAACCTGCTCCAGCCTGTATATATCTGGCTGCTGTGCCAGATGAGGTATTACATCTCATCAGCTGTGGTTGCAAATCTGGCTGCAAATCAGCAATGTGTAACTGTACCAAGTTTAGTCTAGCATGTACGGAGTTCTGCAAATGCAGAGGTGAAGGAAACTGCGAAAATGTCGTGAGAAGGGTACCACAGGAAGAACTAAGCGGGGATGAGGAAGATGAAGATAATGATGAAGATGTTTTTGAATAATTGAATGAAGGCATTCTTGTGTTGTACAGTGAGACTCGTTGTTCTTGTGTGACATGACAGTGATCAAACCATTTGTCCATTATTTAACATTTCTTTGTTCAGTATTAAGGGTATGTCTGAATATGATGTCAATTACGTAAAATTTTTTGGCCATGTTGGCTATCTTGGTTGTCCATATAACGCTCATTCTGGTAAATATTTTAGATAAGATTGTTCTATCAGTATTAGTAATAAATTTTGAACTTGATTAACAAAGTTGTTGTTCAGTAATTGGAAACTGGCAATACATACTCACTAAAATCGATGTCTGCTATATGGTTTTTGGCTGCCATTTTTAATTGTTTTTATTCAAAAATGCTCAACCTGTATTAACTGGCATACATCAGATTTGGAACCAGCTAATTTGAATTGTGGAGAAATTGTTAAAACATGTTATATATGTCCCTAAACATAGCCCAGACTATTCACGTTGGGAATTGGCGCTATCGCGTAAAAAGAAAAACCATTTATATCTCAAGAACTACACCAGATAGAGTATGATATTGGTATCAACATGTCCGCAATACCCAAGTTTATATACATGTTCTATACATACTCGGGGTCTAAATTCAATATTGTCGCCGTTATTTACAAAAAAGTGTATTTTCCGGCGGCCATATTTTGGTCAACACTTACGTACGAGCTGGCATACATCGGATTTGAAATCAGCACCCTAAAATTAACAAGAAACAGCAAAAAACCATTATATATGTCGAAAAACCAGCTTACACTATTTTTACCATTACGCCTAGCCCGGACTAATATATATAGCTAACTGCTAATAATGTATACAAAACCGAATGTCAACCGCATGCAGTATAAAAAACGCCTGCATGGTATTAAAAACGACAATCGTGCACGGAAATGTCGTAGAGACCGTGTTGGAGCATGTCTGGGACCGTTGCTGGAGACCAATTGCTGCATGTCTGGGTATAGAAAGTAATTTCTCGAATGTGGGGGGTCGTTGACCTAACCCTTGTAAATTTTAAAATAACACTTATTATGGCTACGATAAAACTTGGTAACGATATTATCATGACAAAAGTATCGATTTTACTCTCATAACGGGTTAAGACAGGTCCTATACCGCGTACAGACTGCAAATTTGATACCACATTCAAGTAGCCCGGGCCAGGCGCGCGTCAAATTTTTGCAGTGTGTACACGCTATCCCGCTCCAAATACGCGCAGACCCGCACCAATTTGGCTCCGTAAACAAAGGATGGTCAAGCCCGGGATAACTTGGCCCGGACCAAGTTATCCCGCTCATAGGTGTGTCTGTACGCAATCCGGTGCATAACGCGCGCCAAATTTCGCAATGCGCATGCACATAGCCTTATTTAGGTCACATAAAAGTACAGTAGCTGTCTGGGGGTAACGTAGCGAGCTGAACTGCGCATGCACAGTCAATCCGTGACTCATTTGATGTGGGATCAAATTTTCGATTTGGTGCGCGCTTGGCTCGCAGCAGGCCCGTACCAGTTTGATGTGTGATCAAATTTTACAGTCTGTGCGAGATATTAGACTCATCATCGTTCTTTGAATGGAACGGAAATACAAAACAGGTTACGACCAATTTCCGAAACAGATGACCTGCCAGGGCTTCCTGTCCACGGGAGGTCAGAGGTATTCTCAGGAATATACATCCGCGGGCTTATGAAGATTACATTACATTACATAGATTATGGTATAACAGCACTACAGCCTATTGGGAGCATAAGTGCAGGCTATGACTAATGCGGGCTTCCAGACAATATGTCCCTCCAGACTTGTTTTCCCATCATGCTTTGGGTTCATGGATGCACTGACACTAAACCCCTTCATAGCTGTAATGTGGCTGAAACACGGCAAAGTACTATACAGTGAAAAAATATTATTGCCTTTATTTGGCGGGGTGAGGAATTGGTTGAGGAGAATTTTTCATTTTAAACGCCATCAAGAACGTGTAAAAAATCGTACATTACTGATCTCTTTCATAATGGCGAACGGCCTGAGGTTGGACCAGTAAGATTTAGCACTGCAGCTAACCTCAGCAGGGCCTATAGATTAGCGGACCCATATAATCCCCTTACGCTAAACATTTCTTTATTCTCTTACGCACTTTCCTGCTTACTCATCCCCCATCCCATTATAAATTCCTATACCTTCTCTTCACACCTATTTAACTATATAAATCTACTTACCTGCTACGCTTGCACTTACTCGATAAATCACCTTACCCTTTATCGCAAATAATGAATAAGGCATAATAGATCACACTATCATCCACATCTACAAGATCGAATATCAGCATGCCTAGTTCTTAGTATGTGGTCCGTTTTACACTCTCCTTGTCCCGAGTTTTAATCCGGGAATCCCGGTATCATGTACTAGCTCACTACCACGGTGTCGAAGTAGACATAGACTACCCCATTCCCTAGTTCTGTAGTCAGGTTGTGTTGTCTGCGATGCATGTAGTAATCCACTACCCCTGTCCCGTGTTCCGTGATACTTAGTGTATGTAATAAACATACTAACGCTGTTCCCGGGTTATGCCTGTAGTCTCTGGCACATCGCTGGTACTTTTGGTAATAGGCTTTCGGTAATGAATCACCTTATCAACTTACACGCTGGGTTGTCAAAAAGCGCGACAAACGGAGCCGCGCAGATTTCCCTGTTTGCCAATGATGGCGATCTCATATAGATAGCTCGCGCTGTATATAAACCGCAATAATTCAAACATAGAGCAGTGCAATGTGCTCATTATAGGTCCGACGCATCCTCAATGCCGCACTGACTGCGTGCATATTAGCATTTTGACGCATCGATCTCTGTTGCAAAACACAGCCGCACATATACCCGGGCTGCGATGGTCTTTCGAATTTCATATTGCGGAGTTACAATCAATCAGATTTTTTCTTGTTGTTTTATGTGCATTCGAATTTGTAGATTTATACGCGCGCACACATATGCACACACGCATGCACACGCGCGCGCGCCGTTGTTCTCCGCGTCGCTACTCTCTCGGCATCACTTATCAACGGACGGAACGAGTATATAACTGATGCGTGTATTCACAAGTTGTATACAACACGGCTGCCAATATCCGTCGCTCTCCGTCGCGCAGCTTACGCTTGTACGGACAGACAGTGACCAAAGCCACCCGTACACCCACACTATACCACACCACACTCCGACGCTATCTATAAGTATAATCATAACCCTAACACTAACTCTAACCTTAATCCAAATCATATTATTACCCTGAACTCTAGGCCTAACCCTAACCCTAATATCAACTATATTAATCTCATCAAGTCTGGCGTGATATGTCGTCAAACGGTAAAATAAGATGGCATGTATCACTCGTTCATTATTCCCATTATTAAATTGAAAATTAATGGAATTTCTCTATAACCCGCATAGACTGGTGCATGTCGTTGAGATGCCATTCCAATTTCCCATGTGTACTAGCTCTTCACATTTTGATATTTTTCACGTAATTAATTATTTATTAATTTCCTGGTTCTAATTTTATTACTTATCCTGTCTCATAATGCTATCGCCTAGGCTATTTCTCTTCACGTCAGATTACATGTAAATATTATTACAAGTAATTATAAACGTATGCGTATGGGTCCGTGCCATAAATTAGGCTTATATGTACGTGGACGTGGGTGTTTGTGTGCTATACTATCTCTCTCCCTTGTCCCTCTCGCTTGCTTGCTCTCTGTCTCTCTTTTCCTGTCTTTTACACTACTTCTCTTTTTATCACGCTATACATCTCATATTCTCTGGCGCTTTCTTACTTCGCCCGTCGACGTGTCTGTGTGCATATTGTGTAAGTGTGTGTGTATGTGCACATACTAGGTATATATATATATATATATATATATATATATATATATATATA